AAGCTGGTTGAGTCGCAGATGAGGGAGATTGGTGTGAATTCCCTGACTGGAAGCACTGGAGCGTACAACAGCTAAGGCTATCGCTTCTGTCTGACAGAAAGGTGAAACGCTTCCTGCATGTGTTATTGAATAATAGAACATGCCAAGAAAAGAAATCAGAAAAGTTAACTGAGGCAACATTGATTAATTGTCAAGGAATGACACAATTTAGTGTTTATATGAATATAGCGCTCTTTATAAAGTGATAATGTCAAAAAAAAAGCACATTGTGGCATATTGAAGGAGGCACACATTATCAGGTCGCACTTAGCTTTCCAAGCCTAATGAACTTAATATATTGTCTTTCTTTACACCACATTATGCTATTCTATATCGGCAGACAATAGAACCATACTAATCAGAAATATTTTGAATGATCAATATATTTGCTGATCTTTGCCAGGGTTGGCCAAAAATACGTCAAATCAAATCAAATAAATCAAATTGTGGCACTTCTACTTAGGAAAAGGAAAATCTGCCAGTTATAAATCCTGTTGAGAGCACAGAATTTGGCCTGGCTGCCATGCAGTCTTCAACTTTTTGTTGTGTGTGTGGTGAACACCTGTGTGTGCTGACAATTTGGGACACTTGTATCTAAGCTACATGGCACAGTAAAGGAGGTCATGTGGTGCAATGAGTAGCATCACTACATCTGAACCTGAACCTTCAAATTCAAGTCCCACTCCAGGACTGGAAGTTCATAGAAAATTCATATAATGGCCAAACAGGTTGAATATCAGCTGTATGTCCTCCCAATGAAGAGCAATGGCAGGCAGTGAGAACCAGGAGAGTTTCCTGGTCAACTGTGTTATGTATGGGAAGTTGGACTCTCTACCATTGTTGCCCATTAGCTCCAGACTGTAACATGCATATAAAAGTGATGTTATCACAGCAGCTCAAATTCCATGGAGGGTCAATTGACCGGATGGCCAGTGTGCATCAGATTGGTGCTGATTTGCCCATTCTGGCTGGGGTGGACCTGCTGCCCTCTTGTACCCATGGTAAAGAATGTGGTCCTGTGGGTCAGACCCATTTTCAGACAGAAAACTGAAGAAAAATTGGCATAATGACCCAGGTAATGTTCTGGGGACCCACGTTCAAATCCTGCCATGGCAGATAGAGAATTTGAATCCAATAAATATGTGGAATTAAGAGTCTAACAATGACTACTAATCCACTGTCAATTATCGGAAAAGTTCCTTGATGTTCTTCCGGGAAGGAAACTGCCATCCTTACCTGGTCTGGCCTTCATGTGACTCTAGACCCAAAGCAATATGGTTGACTCTTACTGCCCTCTGGGCAATTAGGGATAGGCAATGATTGCTGCCTAGCCAGCAACGCCCTCATCCTGTGAATGAACAAAAAAGAAATATAAAAGTACGCTTGTCATGACTTGTTCTGACTTGTGAAGATAAAAATACTTTTTTGTTGCTGCATTGGGAAGACTACTGATGTTGGCTAAACCAATCAAGTTTGCATTCTGGTTGTAGCTAGGAGTGTGAAACCTGGCTCCAGGGATTGATGCTCCTAGTTTCAAAATATGAAACCTTACTTCTAAAACTTGGCAAGTTATTTATATATGTGAATTTTAAATGTGGTTAGGTTGCTATCTTCAGCTAGAACCATCTGTGCTGTTGAAGATAGATGGCATATCGGCTGATTCTCAACATTTTATGAAATAAGTTATTGACGGATCCTAGTTTTGGTTCCATTACTATATCAGTAATGTCAATGATTTAAAGGTGCAGATTACAAGGGGTGAGGGCAGGGGTGTGCAAGAGGCTGGTATATTTTCTAATTGTATGGATGAAATTTTTCCTTCACCTAAATCACCTTTATTGCAGTTAGGTACTTTCTTAATACTCTCTTTTTCTTTTCTCTTCTCATGGCTAATTCACCAGTTACCTCAGTCATTTTTTCTTGAAATTCAACTGAATTCAAATGTTCAAATACCGCCTCAGTTAATAATGTTAAATAATATAATCAAGATTGAAAATAACGTGCATATGCCTCAAAAGCTGTACAAGCACTTCTACTGCTGTGGATAGTTTTTACCTACTGTTGTAATATAACTGCTGCCACAGTGTGGTATTGAGCTTATTGCTCTCCATACTGCTCATATTGACAGCAGTCATACTTCAATGTATTCGGTGTACATTCTGCTACTTATCTGCTTTGTTGCTGATTTATGCCTATCACTGCATAAAATCAAATGGCAGAGGAAAATGACTGTGTTATTGTAGAATTGAAATGCAGGTTTATTAATTGCTTAGAAATAGTCTCACTTCATGGCCATATTGGGCTGGTATTTTTCATTCTCAACAAAGACTTCAAGAAAATTGATGGATGTGCTTAATCCCAAAAGTGGGCCAAAAGGGGATGTAATTGGACGTAAATATACAACCTTCTGCATAAAAAAAACACAATCAGAGCATTTGTCATAGAAATTACATAATAACATTACATAAGGTTGTTTACCTTCGAGCAAAGAAGATTGAGAATGGACATAATTGAAATGTATAAAATAATGACGGGTACAGATACAGTAGACAGGGGTGATTTTTTTTCCCTTGAAAGAGGTATCAATGATGGGGTGAGGGGCTTAAATTTAACGTAAGAGACAAAGGTTTAGACCAGATGTGAGAAAAAACATTTTCATCCAGAGGGTGGTGGGGATCTGGAACTTGCTGTGGTAGAGGCAGAAACCCTCATGACATTTAAGAAGTATTTAGATGAGCAGTTGTGATGCCAAGGCATGCAAGGCTACAGGCCAAGTGCTAGAAAATGGGATCAGAATAGTTGTTTTTGACCAGCGTGTATATGATGGGCCAAAGGGCCTTTCTCTGTGCTGTAGAAATCTTTGACTGTATAAAACTAACAGCAGAAGCAGACCATTTGACCCAGTAAAACGAATGCCAATGTTTGTTTCATATGAACCATTTTTCACTATCCTTTATCTAACCCCATCAACATATCCTCTTTTCCTTTCCCTCTCCTGTATATATCCAGCTTTCTTGTATTTTGCAAGTCACTTAAAGTGCTGCATTTGGTACAGAGTTCACACTTCAGCAAGTGAAAATATTCTTCAGGCCAACCCTATCAAATGCTTTTTTTTCTCTGTCAAGACAATCCTCAGCCTTCACAGTTCGAGAGAACAGTAATCCAGCCTGTTCAGTCCATCCTGATAGCTATAATCCTCAGTTTTTGGATAATTCTTGTAAAACTATTTTGCGCCTTCTCAAGTGCCTTTTATATCCTTGTTATAATATGGGAACCTGAATGATACACAAAACTCTGAGTTATGGTATGAAAAATGCTGTAAGCAGTTTTAATTTTAGTTTCATTTGTCGTTTTCAATTTTCTGTCCTTAATTAAATCTGTTTTTTTTTAAGAAAGGCCTTTATTAGCCTCCATTGTTATTTTTGTATCACTTTGTTTTCTGCATCTCCAGTTTCCAGTGATCTTCCATACCGTTAAGACATTTCCTCTCAAAGGGGTTATTCTTTGTATCAAAATGTACTGCTTCACGTTTGTGTGTATTAAAGGTCATGGGTACCATACGCAAGTTTAGAATGTTTTCCTGAATTTTGTCACAATTCCAGTGTACTAAACAGCTCCAACACCAAGCCCGCCCATCCTCCAAAACAACTTTCCTATTTGGTGTAATTCTCAATTTTGAACTTGTACTTCACTCATACAAATCTAATTGTTAAAATTAGGTTGAATGAATGTGTGTGAGAATCAAACTTACTCTCAAGTAATGGCTTATTACTTACCTACTTGTAGTATTGCGGACAAATCAAAATAATATTTTTCTGCTGATTATCTTTGAAATCCTTTCCTACTATGCAAAAACTAAAAATATTTCTGAAATCAATAATGATGTAAGGAAGTGAAAAATACTCTTAAACTGAGTATGGTTACTGTACCCCAAACAAATAATTAATATGTTGCAATCTAGTGACAAATACATTCTGCTGCTAAAATTAATCTTCCTATTTCTTCTTGCAACATGGAAAGTTAAATGACAATGAATATTTATTTTTATTTAGTCTTGTTTGTCCTTCAGCAGAGCTTTGCCTTCCAATACTACTGATAAAACAAACAATCCGTCATGATCCTCCTTTAGGATATTTGCAAGGAAAGGAACCCGTGTGTGGAGGAAGATTTGTACCTTTTTAACGTTTATTTGGGAGGAGTTTAAAATATCCCATTCACAAACAAGTACCAATTTCTCAAAGAGTTTTGTGAGACAAGTGTATAAACGAATCTGGAACTAAGACAAATGGACAAAGTTAAGATTACCTACGATGCCATTAAATGGTAGAACAGGCTCAAGAGACTGAAAGAACTACTGCTATTCCTGGAACATTATGAAAGGAGGATCTATTAGCAAATAGAAGAAGACTAGAAATAAGATTTAGTTTATTTTACACTCTTTTGACTGAATTATAATATTTGCAACAACAAAATGCATGCTTTTTTAAACTTCCATTTGGGAGGTAAGAGAAGCTTTTATTGATTTACAGTGCCTATTTTTGAGCTGCAAGCTATCCTGCTGAAAAGTTAGTATGTTGAATGTTAAAATAAATTCACTATATATGTACTATTTTTTAAAGATGTTTTTCAGCTTTTACTTACCATGTTATTCCACTTATCTTACAATTCCTTCAAGTTAGATTCAAAATATTTACTTGGGCGTCTGAAAACCCCTCTTCCTTCTGGTCTTTCAGTGATGTTTGATTTCCCGGCTAGGTTTTTTTTGTAAGGATTAGTTAAAGTATTTGAGATGGTAATGATCGTTTTGGCTGAAACTTTCAAAAGGGATGTGGTTTTTATCCCACTGACATTTTCTGATATCTACTGCAGATCCAAAAGAATAGGTTTGGATAATTCATTTCAGTTGGATAAGTTGAACCTTTTTTTTATTTTGATGCTTAATACATTGTTTAATTTTGCAGGTAATTTAGATCTTACTGGTCCAAAACAAGTCTTCAAAGCAGAAAACAATCCTTGGGTTACACCAATTGCTGACCAATTCCAACTAGGTGTATCCCATGTCTTTGAATATATTCGTTCTGAAACCTACAAATAGTAAGTAGACAGATTGGAAATCACTTGATTTTAAAAATTGACTAGATTCCTGTGCATTATTTGTAGATACAGATAGTGCTCAGAATATTTTAATCTATTTAGTGCCTTTATTCAGCTTTCCATATCACTACTTTTTTTTTAAAAAAAGGCATTCTTCACTATTTGGCTTGCAAGCCTGTTTACACTTGCACTGAAACTAATGATTTCCTGATTCTTCTGTTGCTTCAAAATATCTTTCATGTTTTTTATTTAAATGTTAAATTTATGTTTACACATGCTGCTTTGTAATTTTAACTTGTGTAATTACCCTTTAATAATGAATTGCTATTTAAAATCTCTCTGACATTAAAATAATTAACATGTACACATTTTGTTTTAAAAAAGGAAGTAGATGACTAACAGCATTCTGGCTGTTGGTTGTGCCTCTACGGGATTATGTTAGAGGCAAAGGCAGAGTGGGGATTAAATCTGTTTTTGGTAATACCAGTTATCTGGTATATTTCACAATTGCTGGATGTCTCAAGATACTTTATAGCCAATGAAGTATTTTTGAAGCTTAGCCTTCATTATAATATAGCTGCCTGATTGTAGCAAGGTTCAAGAACCTGAATACCTTTGTGCAAATGGCGTGTTGATCATTGTTGCTAAAACAGTTTCTCTGTTTGTATTCATGTAAGAAAGGTAATTCATGCACCGCTTGTTTAGTTAGGTCAGTGTGAGGAGACTTCAGCAAAGTGAGACGAAGGTCGAGTGTGTATACAATTTGATGCAAAGGGGCACAGAGGTAAGAAGTAAACTTTTGAGAGTGAGTCGGGCGAGAGAAGAGAAATATCATGGATGGGGAAGCCTACCTGCAGTGAGATCAGCAGCAGAGTGTTGTCACTAATCAGAGTGTGACGGTGGCGGTGACGAAGGCAGATGGGCTAGGGCCAAGGGTTAGGCCTTCATAGTGAGAGGATTTGAGTACAAGAGCAGGGATATCTTGCTACAATTCCACAGGGTGTTGGTGAGACAACACCAAGAGTATTATATGCAGTTTTGGTGGTTTTATCTGAGGAAGGATGTTCTAGCTGTACAGAGAGTGCAGTGAAGATTTTCCAGACTGACTTTTGGGATGGCAAGAAGAAATGCTGGCAAGGGTGAGGGTCTCAGATTCCTGGAGTACAAGGATAGGTGAGATCAGTACAAACTGGATAGGTTACACTTTGACAGGACCAGTACTGGTGTCCTAGCGGGGAGTATTTGCTAGAGTGGCTGGGAAGGCTTTAAACTTAACTGGCAGGGGAATTAGAACCTGTGTAAGGAGTTCGGGGAAGCGGAATAAAGGACAAAAACCAAAGATAGAAAGGGGAATAAAAAAAAGTGATAAGCAAAGAAATCAAGGACCAGGATCAAACAGAGACACAGTTGAAAAATAATGGACAAGTAATGTTAAAAAGGTTTTGTGCCTTAATGCATAGAGCATTAACCATGAAGATGGATGAATCAATTGTGCAAACAGGGAAAAAACAGGTATGATATAATCAGGATTACAGAGACATGCTGCAGGGTGTCCAGGGTTGGGAACTGAATATCCGGTGGTATTCACTATTTAAGGAAGACAGACAAAATGCAAAAGACATTGGACTTGCAGGTGAAAGAGGAAGTTAACACAATAATGAAGGTGGATATTAGCTCTGATGATTGGGAAACTGGATGGCTGGAGCTCAGATACACGAAGGGGCAAAAAGCATTAGTGCAGGTTGTATGTACATCCTCAAACTGTAGGGCTGATGTTGGGAATAGCATTCAACAGGAAATTAGAGACACATGCAGTAAAGGAACGTATGTAATTTAGTAATGACTTTAATCTGAATATAGGTTGGACAAATCAAATCAGTAACAATATCATGGGGGTGAAACTCCTTCGGTATATATGGGATGGTTTTCTGGGCCAATACGTTAAGGAATCAAAGGGTATGGGCAAATGCAGGACAGGCTTTTGAGCTGGATAATCAACCATGCTCAAAATGAATGGCAGAGCAAGCTCAAATGTATGAATGGCCCACTCCTCCCATTTTCTATGTCTATGTATAATTCCTCTGTTCTTCTTTGAAATAGTGCCATGGGTTCTTCTATGTCAGAGCAAATAGTTCAGGCAAAGCCATTGGTTTAATGTCTGATCTGTAAGATGGCATCTCTGACAGAGCAGCACTCCTTCAATAATACTATGCTGACTTGTTAGCCATGATTATTTTGCTCAAGTCTTGGAATGGGACTGACCACTAACTTAGATAAAAGAATGACCTAAATTAAGCCATAGCTGACAGCTAGCTGACAGTGAATTATCTGAGAAGATTGTAAATATCGATGAGAGATTTTCAGGCTGTGAACTAGCTTCTCTATTGGACAAGCAGTGAGGCCAACAGAGAGTAGAACTCGGTGGAGCAAGGTTGTTCGTAGTGTGGTCAACTCTCAGAATAAGGATGGATTAAAGACAAAAGGACTTGAAAAAGAAAGTGAACACGGAAGGGTTATCTCAATGTAATAGGCAGATTAATGGATAATATTGACTTTTTCTGATTTCCCTTTTAGTAGATGTTCCTTTTTTTAGTGATATGTGAGGAACTATTGTGACAGCTGTAAGAAGTTTGTGGCTAGTCTGAATGACAACTCTCTTTTTTAAGTAATGGAAGACTAAGGCGGAAGTATTGTGCTTATTGTTGATAACTAAAATAGTAATATAACAAGTTAGGAAGCAAAAAACACAGCTCTCACTGATGTAATAAAAGACTACAATTGTCAGACCCTGCACAGCAGACTCCATAAAAATCGCTTTCATTGTTATAGATGTATTCTGCATGAAGCCGTAATTATCCAGCCTGGGTTGAAATGCTAACAACCTTTAAGCTTATTAATGTAAATGTATTGAAGTATAAGAGGGTGAGGGGTACAGGAGAACAATTTTTATTTTTCTAATTGCTGAGATATTTAACCTTGAATGTTAACAATGGTGTGCACTTGTGAAAAAATTCTGCAGTCCCAGCATTGTAGTAAAAAAACATACCAACTAACCATGAAAGTAGTTCCAGATAATTTTAATGAACTCAGTACTGACAGTGCTGCAGGATCTAATGCCATTTTCCATTTTCATTTATTGAATGACGTAGGGCACACTAGGCCCACGCATTCAGTGGTTTATTGAGATCCGGGTTGAATTTTGAGAGTTAGAAGGCATATCATGTGGTCCTGATATTTAGAAAAGGAAAAATACAACTGACTTTCAAAGTATAGAAGCTGTTGGAAAATATTCTATTGGATCTGATATGTGATCACTGATATTTAACCTCATTAACTTATGTGAGGAAGTAACAAAAATGATTGATTGAAAATGGCCTAGTTGAGACATCTTCACTTCTATAATTTGATAAAATATTTCATGAGCATTTAAACTCTGATTATATGATTGTTGTTACGTTAAGTAGGTATTTGTTGAAATTAAGTAGATGGTATCATAGAAGTGAATTTGTTTAAAGTCTGGCTAAGAAAGGTATTATCTTGAAGCTTTGAACTGATCTCTCAATGTTTACCAGTTTAATTCATGACTATTGCATCTTCAGTGGCACCGCAGAAGGTTAATCAGAGATTTTGGTCCCCTGACTCTCTAACACTTTTTGCCTCAATTTTACTGATGTAGGGTTCATGTATTTTTCAACACTTAGTTGTAGAGATTAAGCAAGAAAGGTATTCTATCACATTCGATTTGAATTTGGTCGGTATGATACTGGTGTTATGCCAGCTGAATCCTTGAATAAGATTTACTATATAGCCTCAGGTTAATGGTGGAGGGGAGACACTTTTATGGCTTATTTTATTCTATGAAGTGAAACAGGTTTAGTTCTCAAGGTATTGCAATGTCATAGATTGGCTTGGCTTTTTAACTTAGTGTTTTAAAAAGAAATATAATTTTGATTGGAATTATAGAACAGGTGTAATATTACTTTGCACTCTTTATCTGTAATTAGTTCATATGAATTTCTTGTGAATTAAATTTTGAGTGTGTCTTGCAATAGTGCCTTCCTACTTTATTTCCCTTTAGTTTACTATATAATTATTTCTTAAGATAATATAGGCTGTACAGATTTAGGATGGTGATTCTTAATAACGTGGACTGGTTTAATGAAATCTTACCTCTCAAGGACAATCAGCAATTGTGCTGTCCTTTTAAAGTGATTGGCATCCTAGAGGACCAATCAGAAAATAACAGGAAGTGACGCCAGTAAGATGACCTTGACCCTTGAGAAACCAATCAGAAATTGGGCATTTACCACTGAGCCAACCCAAGACCAATTAACTGTTGTATGGTTACTGACAATCTAGGCAGAGTTTAAGAATGCCACTAACCATGCACAGAGGAGGTGGCTAACAAGGATTAACAAGTAAGGAACTCTCAGTAGCCAGGCACATTGTAAGAAGAGAAGACAGAAGAAGAACATCATTAAACAGAACAGAACAACAAAAGACAAGTGCCCAGTGACCCAGAATTTGTAACCTGATGTTCCAGAGTGCCCTAACTGAATCCCCTGCCTATGTTCTTTTGTACTTATATGATCAAATTAATAAATTATGTGAAACTTGTAACAACATACTTGTACATGAATAATGTTATAGCGAGGCAGGAATGAAAGACGTCTTATAAGATATTTTCAATCAACCAAAATCTCTCCTCAATATTTACAATCTTCTCAGATAATTCACTATCAGCTAGCTGTCAGCTATGGCTTAATTTAGGTCATTCTTTTATCTAAGTTAGTGGTCAGTTCCATTCCTAGATGTTATTACATACCTTTGGAGCAAGTGGGGCTTGAGCCTGGGTCTCCTGGCCCAGAGGTAAGCACAATATCACTGCGTATAAGTGGTCCTAAACCTTTTGTAACTGTCTATTATTGAAATTGAATTAAAACTTGCAATTAAACTTAAATTGAATGCACCAGACCTCTGATTTTCAACGTTTATCTGTC